CTGTCTCAAAACAAACAAACAAACTCTAGAGCTGAGGGGGGGCGGGAAACACACTCCAAACCAAAAGATTGCTCTGCAGCAGTCAAGAACGAACGACAAAGCTCTTTATATCCCGATATGGAAAGGTCTCCAAGTGAAAAAATGCAAGGTGGAAAGCACACAAATGCTCAGTCATTGCATGGAAAAGGGAGGATCTGCATTTGTTCATGTATATAGGTAAGGCAGCTCTGGAAGGTTTCACCAGAAACTAACGCTCTCGATTGGGCCTGGGGGTGGGAGACTCTACCTTTACCCCTTTTCAAATTAGAGTAAGAGAATGTATAACCCAGCCCTAAAGTTAAAAAAAAAACCAAACAAACAAACCCAAAACACAATGGGTTCTAAAATATTGAGAAGACTGCAAAATAGAAGCTAATAGAATTTTACTTAAGACAGAAACTTTGTCACTAAATTTAGTCTTCCTAACAATCTCAGCATGTTTGGGAGCAAACAGGCCCAGCTCGGCAGCCTTGCTGCGGGTGTGTGACTGCCCAGCACTCCCAGCCAGCCTCACGTTTAGTAAGTTACTTATAGCCCAATAATTCCAAATGCAGAATTATAAAAATTTTTAAAAGACGTTCTGGAACAAATGGTATGTAATGGTGGAAGTGGGTGGGATTTTTCATAAGCTCTCCGGCCCCCGCGGTGTGGACCTCCCAAAGCAAGAGATGTGGAGGCCCCCGCTTTGCCTGGGGGTCATGTCGTGGGTGCAGCCAGGCAGGGTGGGGCCCTGAGACTGCGATGAGGTGTGGCAGGGGTGGAGTCTGTGGTCGGCTGGACTGGCAGGGCAGAGAGGAATTAAGGGTAACTCCCACATTTCAGTCTTGTGCCTCTTTCAGCGCATGGGTGAGTTTGTTTTGTGGCATTCATTTTCATATTGCCAAATTTAAGAAACGGCAGGTCTTGCAGCCGTCTTGAAGACAAAAAGATTGATATTTTGTGATCTGTAGGGCAGCAGTCCCCAACCTTTTTGGCATGAGGGACTGGTTTCATGAAAGACAATTTTTCCACAGAAGTTGGTGTGTGTGGGGGGACTCAGGTGGCCCGGGGACCCTTCCTAAGTTTCATGGAAGACAGTATTTCCATGGACAGGGGTGAGGGGTGGGGGGGGGAGTGACAGAGCTCTGTGGCCCAGGGGAGTTGGGGACCACAGTTGTACAGAATTTGTTGCTTTTGAGCAATAGGGATTCCTGTGCATGCACCACTATGTCCTTGGAAGGACAGTAACGTCATTTATTCGAGGTCACGCCTGGGGACCTCACCTGTCCCCGCCAAGGCAGAGAACCGGGAGGCAGCACAGAGGTATGGGGGACCCACGGCCAGTACCGAAGACCACCTGGTGGTCAGAGGCAGGAGCCACCCAAACCTGTGGCCTCCTCATTGCGCACGTACCGGGTGAGCTTGGCTTCCCCAGCCGAGCAGGACAGAGGCAGCTGCGGGAAGGTGGTGTGGCCGGGGCGGCTACGGGGAGACCCAGCCCGGGTGAGTAGCTGGCGACAGCTGCCCCGAGGCTCAGGAAGAGCCTGGTACTGAGAAAGCGAATGAAGAATGATGTAGCACACAGACCCCAAAAGGGTGGCGGCTGGGGACGGCAGTGGAGGGACCCACGGGCCTCCACGCTCAGCGGTGGCCCAGGGCACTGCGGCTCCACGGTCTAGCCTGCGCTGACCTGCAGTCAGCTTCTGTCGTAAAGAACGGGACAAAGGCCACTGTTAAGCGTGACCTCCCTAAACCATTAACATGTTTAAGAAAGGGACGAGAGTCAGTTACCCGAAACGTAAGTGAAATGTATTTTTCCCAAAGATTCCCAAACCGGTAAGCTCTCCGCACGTCTTTGCCAAGAGGAGAGCCCGGCCAGGCTCCCCACAATGCCGCCTGCTGCCTCTTAGGCCACAGGGTTAGAAGCCTCAGAGCTCTTTTTCTAAAGCCCGCCTGGCTGGGCCGCTTGGACAGGCAGCTTCAAAGTTCACCTTTCTTAAGGCATCAAAGCAGGCGCCGTGGGGGGCGGGCCCTGCTCAAGCTGGCCTGGGCTCTGCCATGGCGTTCTGCTTCTGGGAGGCAGAGCGGGCTGGCTGGCGACCCACCGCAGCACGGTCCCAGTGCCTGCCAGCCTCGGCGGGGCTGTCCCATGTGACTCGAGCAGCTGGGAGGGGCTGGGGTGCTCAGCAGACCCCAGAGGGGCCTGAGCTGTGCCCCAGGGCAGTTTCCCTGGTCCTGCCCAGGGCGATGCTGGCTGCGCTCAGCCCGCCCTCCACAGAGCCGGGCACCTGCAGCCCGTTTGCTCGCTGCCCCTGGGTGGGGGGTAGGGGCGTCAGAGCCCTCGAGGGACCCCGCTCTGCACAGTGAAAACACCAGGGACAGGCCGGCAGGCAGCCCGGGGCACCGCGGTTCTCCTGTTCTCTCGGGTCATTTGCATATCCATTTATCCACTCATTCATCTGTCTGTCCATCCTTCTATCCATTCACCAAACTCTCCCTGGGCGCCTGCCAAGAGGTGCCACGCCAGCCAGGGCTGGGGCCAGCAGACATCTAATTCGAGCCTCGGTGCCATTTACAATTTCCCAGTGGCCACGTTAAAAAAAGTTAAAAAAAAAAAAATAGAAGAAATCCACTGTAATAACATCTTTCAGAATTAGCCCAATTTATCTGAAAGTTATCATTTCAACATGTCATCAATATAAAAATTATTGATGAGACAGTTTACACTTTTTTCTCTTTGTCTTAGATTTTCGAAAGCTGGTGTGTATGTTACTTTAAAGCCCATCTTGACTGGGGCCAGCCAGGTTTCCAGGGCTCCGCAGCTCCCGTGGCTGGTGGCCGCCACACTGGACGGTGCGGATGGAGGGATACAGAACACGGTGACACCGGGGCCCTCCACTGAGGGGATCCCCACCGTCCCTACCTGGCCGCTCGGCAACTATGCGCGGCTCCCGGTGCGCTGCAGGTGCTGGTCGGCGAAGGAGGAGCCAACCACAGGGAGATGCCACTGCGTGCCGCCGACCAGCAACATCAAAGAGCTAGTCCCCACCAGACAGCCGAGGCCGGTGGGGGCTGCATCTCCCCCCCACCAGCCTTGCGCGTGGGGTGGAGGTGGGGGCCGTTCCAGGAGGGCCACCCGGTGACCGCTGGGGGCTCGTCCCCTCGGCCCCACTTAAAGGCCCACCTCCCCACAAAGCTTGTGCACGTGAGCAAGAGGTGGGCATGGGGGAGTGGACTGCAGCGCTGCTGGCGAAATCTCAAACTTGGCAATGAACGTTCATCAGAGTGAACAACCAATCTGCGGCACGCTATCGTGACCCAGTCGCACGACAGAAGGCCACACGGCGGCAGCCAGAATGACAGCGCTAGATCTACAGGCATCTGCATGGGAGATGCTCAAGAGCACATCGTGCAGAAGAGCAGAATGACACAGCGCGACAGCAATCACAGGAGTCCCCCAAACACGGGGCAGTCTGCAACACACGTGGGACTACCCAAGAGGGACCCTGCCAGCTGCAGGGGGTGGTGTGGGTGGGGGGGACTTCTGGGAAGGGGGAGAGAAAGGCAGGATGGGAGGAAAGGACAAAGGGGGTCTTATCACAACCTCTTATCTCCTGAAAAATTAAGCAGATGTGGCAAAAAGATCCTATTTGGTAAGCACCTGGGTGCACGTTAAAGTTTTCTTCGTATTTCTCTATACTTGAAATATTTCATAATAAAAACTTAAAACCCCCTCTGAATTAAAAACCCAAATTAGTGAATAAGGTTAAGTCACCTAACCTGTCTGTAATCCTAGCACTCTGGGAGGCAGAGGCAGGCGGATCTTTGAGGTCAGGAGTTCGAAACCAGCCTGAGCAAGAGCGAGACCCCGTCTCTACTATAAATAGAAATAAATTAATTGGCCAACTAATATATATAGAAAAAATTAGCCGGGCATGGTGGCGCCATGCCTTGTAGTCCCAGCTACTCGGAGGCTGAGGCAGGAGGATCGCTTGAACCCAGGAGTCTGAGGTTGCTGTGAGCTAGGCTGACACCATGGCACTCACTCTAGCCTGGACAACAGAGTCAGACTCTGTCTCAAAAAAAAAAAAAGTCACCTAACCTCTCTGAGCCTCGGTTTCCCCAGCTGAAAAGCTGGGATGACGACACCAACGTCACTGGGTGGATGTGAGGCAAAAACGGGGTCTTTTTTAGATGGCCAGCATATCTGGAAACAGAAGCCATTACGAACGACAGCCGTGAACATCTCCCGGGCACTCCCTGTGCGCCGGACACCACGGTGGCATCGGTCACCCCCACCTTGCAGGCGAGGCCACTGAGGCACAGGGCAGGGAGGGACGTGCACTGCCCACTTCCCAGCTAGCTAAGCCATGGGGCCAGGGCTTGAGCTTGGCCAGCCGGCTTCAGAGCTGACATTTTTACCCCCTTCTGCAGACCGTCTTTAATCAATGCTGCTTTCCTGCCTTTTCCAGAGATTGAGAATTATTTTTAAAGTCCACAGGTGCCAAATCGCCCACCAGTGCCCAGTGCCCAGGCGGACCCCTTGCGAGGCAGGTGGATGGGTCCCGGCCGGGCCGTCTCCCCACGCACAGGTGGCTCTGGGAGAGCAGATGCTGCCCTCCGGCTCCAGGGTGCCCCCCCTCCCCCAGCACACCAAGGTCAACGGGCCATTAAAGGCTGCCGAGGGCTGGGCGTGGTGGCTCATGCCTGTAATCCTAGCACTCTGGGAAGCCAAGGTGGGCGGATCGTTTGAGCTCAGGAGTTTGAAACCAGCCTGAGCAAGAGCGAGACCCGGTCTCTACTAAAAATAGAAAGAAATTAATTGGACAACTAAAAATATATAGAAAAAAAAAATCAGCCGGGCATGGTGGCGCATGCCTGTAGTCCCAGCTACTCGGGAGGCTGAGGCAGGAGGATCACTTGCGCCCAGGAGTGTGAGGTTGCTGTGAGCCAGGCTGACGTCACGGCACTCTAGCGTGAGACTCTGCCTCAAAACAAAAACAAAACAAAACAACAACAAAAAATAAAGACTGCTGAGGACTTTCCAACCCATAGCCCCATCTTCCTTTCTCCCAGCCACACAGATACCTGGCAGGGTGGGCGTCTGCAGGGGATGGGGCGTCTGTCCCGGGAGCCCTGAGAGTGAGCCCACTGCCCCAGGAGCCCTCTGCCTAGCTGGACGGAGGGTGGTTTCGCCCGCTGCGGCCCCTAACAAAGAAGCCGGATGCTCAGGAACTCTCCTGGCGGCAGCGGGTTCTCCTCCAGGAGCAAACCAATCGTGCAGCAAATGAGCGTCATCTTCCCTCCAGGGCACTGCCAGCCAACAGTGAGAAGAAGATGAACCTTCCTCTCTACATGCCATTTAATTTCAATATCTCATTTAATTCCGGCTGGAACGATTCACACTCTCCCGGACTGGGGTGGAGGTGGGTGGGGGTGGGGGACATCGGCAGCCCGGCTGCTACTTTCCAAGTACAGACTTTTGTAGTTTCTACATTGGAAACACACACACACACACACACACACGGGAGCATACATGACTTCTGCTGTAAGGAAATAAAGCTAACATTTAAAAAAAGCCACTGAGCAGAGTTACAGGCTGGGCACTGAATGAAGGTGGAATTAAACACCGAGAGCAGGTGAGCAGTGATCACAGCCAGGAGGGGGGGTCCCTCCCCAGACCCCCCCAGGCCCTGGGGGATGGGCCGGGGGCCAGGCTGCTCTTCCCGCCAAGCCCTGCCTGAAGCCCCTGAAAGGCTCCCACCCTCCCCACCTCCTACCTCTGGGGACAAGAGATCAGTGGCCGCCTTGTGTCTCAGGGAACTCGCTCGGGCAGGGGACAGTCGCTCCCTCCTCGGGGGTGGCCATCTGGGCTGTGGCTGCTCCCGGTGCCTTCCAGGCCGACTCTCTCCAGACAGCCCATTTGGACTAAATGCCTGGCCCTCGCAGAGAAGGGAAATTATCCTTAAGCTCAGGCCTTGCGACGGCCCATGGCTTTCAGAAGCTTTAATCCCTCGTTCACCTCCCCAGTGCGTGGCCCCGAGGTTAGAGGGACGGGCCAACCAGAGCCCACAGGGTGGACTCTAACCCGACAGAGGAAGAGGAGGCCACTTCTGAAAGTCTGTCCCGGGGAAGGCAGGTGTGGGGAGCCTGGGGGACCCTGCGGTGACACTAGGGTCGGCATGGGAGGTTCAGGACATTGCTGGCAATCTGCAGGACAGCCGAGCTGCATCCAGACCCAGTGAGTTCCGAGTTTGTGGAGTGAGGCACAGCTGGTCATGAACTGGATCTACCGGACTGGCTGGATTTGGTGGCTGCTGAGCTCCCTGCCACCACCAGAGCGAGCCTTGGCGGGGGTGTTTCCCGTCTCCCCGAGCGAACCCGCTGCTGTGGCCTCAGCTCCGAGGCTGGATCTCAGGGAGAAAGGCCGAAGACAGCCCTCAGGACCAGGATGGGCCTGACAACGGCGGAGGGGGAGCTGGGGGACAGGTGGTGACCCCGTGCTGGGGCGCTAGAAAGCCCAGGAGGCCCCTTTCGCTGCACCCTGTTCCCAGACTTCCTTCCCTGATGCTCCACTATTTTTAAATTAGGATTAAATTCACATACCATAATATTTGCTTTTAAAGTGTAGAGTAACTGTCAGCACGATCAGAGTTGTGCACCCACCACCACTAACTCCGGACTACTTCTGTCACCCCCAAAAGAGACACCCTCCAGCCCTCACCCTCACCAACCCATCATCTCCGCGCCCCCCCACCCCCCAACCTCCAATCCACTCTGTCTCAATAGAATTGCGCGTTCTGGACAGTTCGTATAAACGGAATCACGTAACACAAAGCACCGTGTTCTCCAGGCTCATCGTGTGGCATTGCATTCCCTTGCACGGATTAGTGGTCCTCCGCTGTATGGACAGCCATGTTCTATCTGTCCGTCATCGTTGGTTCTTGGATACTGGCTGTTGCACTTTCCGGCTATCGTGGACCGTGCTGCTGCGAACGTTCGCGTACGGGTTTCTGTGTGGACAGAAGTTTGCATTTCCCCGGGGTCTGAACCTAGGAGTGCAACTGGGAACCCCAACATTTAATGGTCAGGTGGGGTGGAGAGCCAAGGACATAGGAAGGAAGGGGTCAGAGGGAAGGAGGGGACACGGAGAAGACAAAACCTATGGACTTGGAGCTGCTGGTATCTGGCAACAGGGCTCTGCTCAGGGCAGGTGTAGGCAAGAGCCCGGGAGGGAGGACTACAGGGAACACGGGCTGTCCTGTGACACCTCCGGCCTGCTGGGGACCTTGGGTGGGTCTAGACTTGTCCTAAGCGGGGAAGGCATTTCATCACAGTCACACACGTGGGTCCTCTGGCCGTCCTGAACCTTAGTGGGCATTACCGAGCTGGTCAGTTGGCATGGGGTTTCCAAAGCAGGCCATAGTCCTGGGGAGCCGAACCTGTGTCCTGGCGCCAGTGCAGGGGGTTGGCAGTCACTGGCACACAGATGGGGGGATCTGTGTGTATAAAGGGACACTCCTCCTCCTCCCAGGTGCCCCCTTTGGCAGAGCCAGTGCACACAGCACGCACTTCCTCTGTGCGCAACACGGGGCAGCCGCCTGCTCTGGTGCTCGGGTGCAGAGCGGTGCTGGCTGTGGCCTGGGCCTCAGGGCTGCCCACCAAGGCCCGGCTGGTTCTGCACACACTGCTAGGCTACCCCATCCCCAGGCAGCCCCAGGGGCAGGACGGACTGGAGTTACAGGGGACCAGAAGGACGGGGAGGCAGGGCCGGGCCAGGAAGGACGTCAGTCTGCCTCTCCTCTCCTGCCTGAGCTTCTTCACCCAGACACCCAGGGGTGGTCACCCTGCCACCCTGACCAGGTGGTGGGAGCCCCGCCTTCCTCTGCCTGGGGCTTCTGCCCTCCCCAGGACACTTGCCTGAAGACTGAGGCATTCAACATGGGGGGACGTTACTGTGAACTTCTCGTCTGCATCTCATTACTCTTTCCCCAGTTTTTCAGGGGTGCAGGTACTCTCTAGTGCTATCTGTTACCCAACACAGTGTCCAAAAGGGCTGTATAATGGGAGAGCAGGTAGGCCTGGTGCAGACGTGGCTGAGGCAGGCTTGGCATGGGTGGCTCAGAGCTTCTGCGCCTGACCTTCCCGATAGTCCAGGGAAGACAGAGGCACGTTTTAGATCTGGATTTTTCCCCATCTGCTTTGCTGCACAGGTCCCCAACCAAAACTCACTCCCCTTTCTCTACTTCCCACCCACCCCTCTCACCCAGACCCTCTACCCAGAAGTGAAGGTGGAGTGGTGTGGTGGGCAGCTTCGTGTGCAGGTGCACCCACCCACCACAGGACCCACGTTCCCGGAACCACGAAGACCACGCCCCCCTAGACAACCCCGGAGTACCTGTTTGAGCAGATGCACTGTCTTGAAAACTGCCTGTCAGTGCAGCAGCGATTTAGCAAAGAGCTTAGTTGACTCTAGGCAGCTCTCTTACCAGCAGGAGTTTTGAGCCCCTCCAAAGGCTGGCATGGAGTAAACGCTAGTCCTCGTAGGTGATTCACAGAGCAATCAGACTCTGGAGGGTCTGGCTCTCAACACTGGAGCAGCCAGGAGGCCAGGGTGGAAGAGGCAGCAGGTGATAGCACTGAACATGGGACTACAGCAGCCTTTTTTATTTTGAGACAGAGTCTCACTCTATTGCCCAGCCTAGAGTGCTGTGGCGTCAGCCTAGCTCACAGCAACCTCAGACTCCTGGGCTCAAGCGATCCTCCTGCCTCAGCCTCCCGAGTAGCTGGGACTGCAGGCAGGTGCCACCATGCCCGGCTAATTTTTTCTCTATTTCTTAGTTGTCCAATTAATTTCTATTTTTAGTAGAGACAGGGTCTCGCTCTTGCTCAGGCTGTTTTCAAACTCCTGACCTTGAGCGATCTTCCTACCTCTGCCTTCCAGAGTGCTAGGATTACAGCGCGTGTGAGCCACCGCGCCCGGCCTATAGCAGCCTTTCTTAAAGGTCCCCAGAGGGAAGCTGTTACATGATGTAGAAATCCATAGGGGACATCCTCAGACTGAGAACTACTGCTCTCTATTTGCCTAGGTCAGGAATTGAGGCTGAGATTTAAAAAAATATTCTACCCTAGTACTGCAAGAGCAAGTGGAGGCCGTTATTTCTCTGGATGCATCCTGACCCGGAGTCACGTACCTGAAACTGTCCCGGGATACTCAGGGCACGTGGACTGTGCACATACAGAGCATTCTGCTCCTTTACATTTTCTTCCCATTGCAAATCAGACCCTCATGGTCTCAACCTGCTTCTCTTTGGTCACTTTTTTTGGGAAGCGCCTGATCAGTTGGGGGTCTTGACTTTCTGAAAAAAATTTGATGTGTAATTTTTGTATATTTGCATGGATATATTGGAAAGAAGTCTTTGATTGTATTATTGTATTACAAGTATCTCCAACTGTGTGATTTCCCTTTTCACCCCAATCGTGTTTTTCAATGAACTAAAGTTCTTCATGTTAACGTAGTAAAACTTACCATTTTTTAGGATTCTGTTTAAAAATCCTTGCCAAGCCCACGGTCCTGGATATATCTTCCTGTTATTGTATAGAAGCAATATTGTTTGACTTTTCTTATTTAGATTAACAATCCCAAGATACTGCTACCTATCACCAAAATGTCTAAAATTAAAAAGACTGACAACAAAAGTGCTGGGGAAGACATATGGAGAAACGGGAACTCTTGGATATTGTGGGTTGAACGGCTACGACTGCTTTGTAAAACTGGCAACATACCTTAAAAAGTGAACATACACACCCCTGGCAAGTCAACTCCTACATGTAATCCTAAAAGAAATGTGTGCGTAAGTGTGTGAAAATGCACACACAAGAATGCTAATTAACTGCGGTGATACCTGCATCAGCCCAAATCTGGAAAGAACACACGTGTCCATCAGTACAGACACGGGGGTACACTGGTACAATGAAATAACACAGCAGCGACAAATGAAAACCTGTGATACGTGTCGACACGGATCGATCCCACACACATGACAGTATATACCATATACTTCCACTTACAGAAAGCTCTGAAGCCAGGTAGAGCTAACGCAAGGTGTGGGCGTGAGGGGCTCCTGTGTGCTACGAGTGTCCTACTGTCTATATTTGGAACTCGGTGGTGCTTTAGGAGCCTGTCCTCCTATTCACTTTGTGATGTTCCCTGAGCTACATACCTATAATATTTCAATACATGTTTTTGTTTTTAAAAAAACCTCTCTGCCGGCCGGCACGGGGGCTCATGCCTATAATCCTAGCACTTTGGGAGGCCGAGGCGGGAAGATCGCTCAAGGTTAGGAGTTTGAGACCAGCCTGAGCAAGAATGAGACCCCGTTTCTTCTAAAAATAGGAAGAAATTAATTGGCCAACTAAAAATATGCAGAAATAATTAGCTGGGCATGGTGGCATGTGCCTGTAGTCCCAGCTACTCAGGAGGCTGAGGCAGGAGAATCGCTTGAGCCCAGGAGTTTGAGGTTGCTGTGAGCTAGGCTGACGCCATAGCACTCTACCCTGGGTAATAGAGACTCTGTCTCAAAACAAAACAAAACAAATCTCTCTGCCAAATATACCCGAGATGAGGATATAAACAGAATTTAGGACATTAACATAATGAGAAGACTTAATGGTTCTGGAATTGAACTGTTAATATAATCCAGAAAAAAATGAATTAAAATCCTGTAAATGAAAGTGTTTCACAATACATTGCTATCAACAAATTTAAGACTTCAGAATTCAAAAATAAAGAATTCCAACATTTAGGAGATGACTGGAATGATATTTAGCCAACCAGGGGATTTTAGGTGATTTTTAGTTTATACCTTTTCCTGTTTCAATGAAAAAAACCCCAGTAAGCCATTACCTTTGTGACAAAGATAAGCTGTTTTCAAGGAACCGGGGATCAATACCCCTCTCCCGGGGCACGTCCTGCATACACAGGGACGGGGACAGGGCCCTCCAGACATGGCAGACAAGCTGTACAGAGAGGTCTTGATACTAAGCCACCTCCTGGAAGTGGGAAGGTCATGACAGATTCGAGATTAAACTTTTTAAAAACTAAAGCAAAAATAATGAGGTCTTCCTGAGCTAAGGCACTTTGGGACACAATGCAGTACAAACACACCCTTTCCTGCCATCCTGGGGCTGGAGCCAGCAGGTGTTCAAAATCTGCCTGCCTCTCATTGCTCCAGTGTTAAAGGAGAACACAAGTGTACCTTCTTGCAATCAACGTTACAAGGGAAGAAAAATCAGATGGCTTCTGCTGAGACAGAGGGGTCATTCAGGAGGCCTGAATTCCCTTAGGCTGAACCCCAGGAAACTGCTGTTTGAGTATCTGACCTACCAAAGTAGCAGTTTCATAGGGTCCAACCTTGCGGTCTACTCCTTCAGTCCCTTGCTGAACACGTGCCACTGGGTAAACAGCTTCATCTCGGCACATCTGAAATTCCTCACAGTAAAACATAAGTTTCGCTCAAAGATCAGGGTTATTAGAAGTGTAGACTGGATCTTGCCTGCTAAAAATGCAGGCTTTGGGGCCTGACCCTTGATGAATCTGAACTCTCTGCCTGAGCCGAGGAATCTGTACAGATTTCCTATCTTTCACTTGTAATTGTGCCTTTTATTGCTTAAACTACATTGTGAGTTCCTCAAATGCATGCACCATGCTTTCTGTTTGTGTTTCAGTGTCCAGGGCACTGAAGGCACTTGCAAGGTCCTCGCCCACGTGGCGGCTCTCTGTCTTCCCTGTGCTCGTCTCAGTGAAGGAGGGGAAGGAGAGCTCGGAGGACTGGCAGTGATTTCCAGTTCCTTTCTGATTTTCTGCGAAGAACACACATGGGCTCTGTAGTAAGGAGAACGTATTGAAACTGGGGTGGAGGTGTGCAAGAGGGTGGGGAGCAGGGGGGAGGAGGGAGGGGTGGTTTCTGTGTCTCATTTCCCAGCAGAGGGGCCACACTGGATGTCCCCCGCCTCGCCCTCTGCTACTTACTGTGTGTGGCTTCAGGCAGCCACCTCAGTAGCCTGGGCCTTGGTTTCCCCATCTGCAAAATGGAAACATCATAGGGTTGTGGGAAGGCAAACGTAAACAGGAGTGTTGAAGAAAAGTAAACTGCTATCCTTTGAGAAGGAATGGTTTTACTCATTCATTCGATACATGTTCGCCGAATGATTACTATGAATTAACACCTCTCGGGTCAGTCTGGCAATGGAATGTTCTAGAATTACTAAAAGACTTAGCAGTTAAGAATCTTGTATCAATGTAGCCCTTAACATATTCCAAGTGCTAGCACCCTTATTCTTCCCTCCGGTCTTCACAACATCCCTGCATGCAGGTGTCATCACCCTCATTTTCCAGAGCAGAGAGCCAACTCGCCCAAGGCCAGAGGACTAGAAAGTGCCAAGCCGGGATCACACCCAGGCACGGATCTGAGAGCCGGCACTCCTCACCACCGCACGCACCAACACCTCCTGCTAGCTGGCACACAGACACCACGCAGCACCCTGGAGCTGTCTGAAGAACGGGGAAGCACGGCACAGCCAGAAGCAAGAGGAAGATTCTTTTTGAGAAGGTCCAACTCTGAGAAAGAACCAATTCTCTTCTAGTAATGAGGTGAATGAGGAGAAGGGAACCTGGAGGCCACTATGCCCCGCCCACCTTCGAGGCTTCCCTGACACCCTTGGGGCCCAGGTCTGGGCTGCCAAGTGACTTCCTGGGGCCAACTCCCAACTCCTATGGACTCTAACTGGGCGGAAGCCGTGCCCACAGAACTTCACAAGTGTTCTGAAACGCGATTCTTTACAGATCTGTTGATGGTATCTACCATTTTTTCAGCCAGCACTACACACAGGATGCTATTCCGCGTGACAAGATAACCCAAGTTCCAGCCAAAGGTTTCCTCTGGTTAAAATGCAAGCGGCTGCTTCGCTGGCACTTGTCACACCGCTCTGAAAGCATCAGGCCAAGAGGAACGCGAATCCTGGCTGTTCTGAGGCTGACCTAGATCTCATACTCCAAAGTCTTCTGGTCACTTCTCCAAGTGCGGCATTTCGGAAACCTTCAAGGAAATAGCCTCTCCAAGTTGTTAATCCTAAAGGGAAAAAAAGGCTCCTCGGAAGAACGCCACGTGCTTCTAAGAAAAGGCAAACCCGATCAGATTTTGCATCCCGTTCGTTCAAGGATATTTTAAGGATGTTAAGGAGTAACGAGTCAATTTTATGAGGATAAAAATATTGACATTATCCCCTGGATCTAAGATGTAAGGAAGTGGAGCCCAAGCAGCTAGCAGGGGCAACACCAGCATGTCCTAGCAGGCTTTGTACAGAACTGAAAATAACCAAGTCTGAGGCTTGAGAGGTACTGGGAGTCGACGGGAAGCCTCAAGTAATGTCAACTAGTAAAGCGAAAGTCTATTTTTAAATTCAGCTCTCTTCACTGAAATTGCCAAAAATGTCCGCAGGGTACGGAGTTTGCTGTCCGTGGCTATTTTTCCTGCTTCCAACCACCATGATGCCATAAAGGAGCTGCTGGCAAGAAAGACACGGTGCTAAAAAGGGAGCAGTTTAGGAAGCAGACACTCATCCTCAAATACAAAACAAAAAGGTAGGTGTGAAAAGCCGGGGAATACAATATGCAGACACAATAGCTCTTCCAAGACAACAGTCAGAAAAATAAGCCATTAAAATAGGTCGAAGCTAATTATACAGAGTCTCACCAGATCCATGGAAAACTGACTTGAAAGTTTAAATTACTCAAGACTTCTTAGTTTTCTATTCTAAAGCAATCTAATTTCATTAGAATTAGCAATGCCAACTTTTCCTTAGTAAGCAGATTGCTTTTTTTTTTTTATGAAGGTACTGCCCATTTTCCCACGTTTATCATTCTGTTCTTAAAGGCAACTATGATTACAAATACAAAATGACATTTTTATATAATTTTTGTCCTACTCACCTTTTAATGGATGGAGGCTACGAGAGAGAAAAATGTCCCCCAGAATGATTTAAGCACATGGCTAGCTCTAAAGGCAGACATCCCTGAACATATGTGAATATAGGTGCACCTGCTCACGTTTAGGAAATTGGTTAAGAACGTTTTGGTGGGCAGAGTTTTCAATATATAAATATACTTTGTGTTGTTCTTTCAAGTCTTTAAAAAAAAGGAGGGGGGCAGAGGAAGTTTCAGGTGGCTCTGTAACAGGCTTGCTCTTTTTTCCTGCGTGGGGGAAATGAAGCCTGTTCTCTGTTCTCGGGACCAAGGAGACTGCGGCCCGGAGCTGTGGAGACCAGAAGGGCGGCCTTGGCAGAGGCTTTTGCTATTTGAATAAGGAATGCAGGCGCAGGTACCTGCACTTTCTGTTCCTTCAGAGCATTGTGTATGCTTCCCTCTGAAAATTTCAGCCTCACTCAGCAGGAGAAAGGGAACAAAGTACACGGCTTCAGCTTTGGCCTGAATCCAACCTAGAGGACAGTGCGTGCCTCTGGGACGCTGGAGGGAGAAACCAGGGAGAGAATTCTACAGGGAGGTGACACTAAGGGAGAACCACCTTGAAGGGCTGCAGGGAGATGGCATCTTTAAAGGGCCCCCAAACTAGCCCCGGCCGCACCTTGACTCCATACAGCTCTGCCAGTCCCCCTGGACTGCGAACCGGAGGTGCCACGTGTTCCTGTCGCCGTCCCGGGAAAAGACAGCTTCCGGTATGGCAAATGCTGGAGGTGACTCTTCTCCCTTCCTGAAACAGACACGAGCCCACGGGAACAGGACGCCCGCTGCATCCGCTTGTGAGGGTGCTGGCAGCGGAGGGCAGGAGGGTGGACCCCGAGTACACAGGCGCCTCACTCCTTCCTTCGTGCTCCCCACGTGAAAGAACATCAGTTTAAAAAGTCAAGGGTAAGAGGTATTTGAAGAAAGGGGAAGAGAGAATTTGGTGGATCAAATAATAGACATTTATTTTTAGCAATATCTGAATTTTTCACTACTCGTTAAGAGAAAAATAGTGAATGCTGCATCACAAACCCTTCCGATAGGTCGCATCGATAGTTACAAATTTCCTTCATGTAGTCAAAGACAACAGTAGGAAAGGTACCGTTCTCTGAACTCTGTACAAAATAATTCATATAAAAAGGAAGAAATGCAATGGTACCATAAATTCCCCCATCAATTTTCTTAAAATTGAGTTAGAAAACTTGACCAAATGTTCTCAGTATAAAAATTACAGACATTGCTCTGTACAACTTGGGGAGTCTAAATTGTTTTTGTTTTTCTCGAATACAAAATAAACTATTATTTTGAAGACATAGAACCATTTCGATGACCGTGCAGGTCAGTTAGAAGTTAGGACTGATTCTTGCTTTTTAAAGAAAAATCATAGCATGGTTCCGTTTTTCCTTTCTTGATTTTGCAGGTTTGCAAGCTTTCTGGTTGATTGAGAGGCAATGAACTGGACTCTCATCCACGTTCCCATTACCAGCGATGTTTGCTTTTACCCTTAATGACAAAGGTTTCTCAGGCAACAGTGGCATCACTCCCACTGCGTAGCGTCACCGCGGCCGGAACACCCACACGCTTCTCACGGGTGCTCCGCGTGTCCGCCCCGATCCCAGGATGTCGGCTCAACGCACGACATCGACTCAGCCAGGACAAACACTCACAAACACACTCACTGCAGTATGAGATGTGGTCTTTTGTTGTTGTTGTTGTTAAATCTAGTTCATAAGCCTTAAAAAGTATTCTCTCCAGATTATAAAAGGTTAGTTAAAACTGTTTAATAGGAACAATCTCGGACAAGCAGAAATAGCTTTGATTTGGAAGATAGCAACATACAACTGGGAGAGATCCTCGGGGTGGTCGGGCTGGACGGTCTGTGCCTCTTCTAGGGGCTGTGTCAGAAGGCGGCTGACTGAACACTCTGCCCTCTTTCAAGGCACATGCCACTTCTCAAAACTGTCAGCTTCCCACACAGGCTACCAGATATTCTATTTACATTTAAAAATAGGTTTTCTTCTTTAGCACAGTGGAGATGCCCAGACCAGTTGCCACAGGGCCTGCCTAGCACAGGTGCAGAACGGCTTTGTTGATCTCTGGATTCGTCCAGTCATTCCGAATGTCATCCAGGTGGTTGTCGAAATCCACGAGGGTTTCGTAGGACCGGCTGTCCAGGAGCGACGCCAAGATCCTCTGTGCCTCTGGCCAGTCTTCACAGCAGTCGCTGCGGGTCAGACAGGGAGAAGTCAGCCTCTGACTACAGACAAGACCAGGCACGTTAACGGCGGCAAAAAGAGAGGTGGTATGGAATGCCAAGAAACACGGACACTTTAAACACATAAAGATGTACGTAGAGAATATCAAACATGGTTCATTGACAGATGGAAGGGACACCCTTAAAATGGAATTCTGGAAAAGCAGGAGGCAGATGACTGAAGCTTTCTGAGTGACCACAAATAAATCGAGCCAAACACTTGGGAAGAGTGTTAGTGCCCCGGGGTCTGGGGCGGGAAGACCCTTGAGTGCCACTCAGGTTCCCCCACAGAAGCCCTCCAGGCCCCAGCCCCCAGGAGTCAGGAGTGCACAGCATTCTCGGGAGAACACGCTAACTTAAAGCACAGGCAGGGCGTGCACCACGCCTGCAGCGGCACTCACTGGTGTGGGTCCCTGCACCGCCATCTGTTCTCGTGGTGCTCGTACACGTGGATCGTGGGCGCTACGCAGTCCATCGTGAACTTGGTGTTGTCTACCTGAGAACAGGGCGGAGGACACGAGTGAACAGACCACTCACACGAGAGCCAGCACAGGGACCTCCCTGGGGCTCCCGCAGCAGCAGTGTCACCGCTGGCCCAGGGCAGACACGCCTCCTATAAATCTGACATGTGGAATCACCAAGACAGCTTGGCCTGGGATAAATCGTGTATTTTGCAGGAAAATAATGTTTCACGAAAGTGAAGCTTCCAAACTTCTTCCCGCACTATTAGGATTCTGTCTGAATCAATATTGTTTAACAGGCTCTCAATGTCACCTGCCTGCACATCCACCTCATTCCTTCCCTGCACCCCTGGAGACCATGCTGGCTCTAATCCAACGGTCCTCACAATGTGTATGCGTCAGAATCACCTGGAAGGCATGTTAAACAGACCGTTGGGCCCCACCCTCAATGTTTCTGATTCAATGGGGTCTCAGAATTAGCAATTAATTAATTTACTTGAGACAGGGTCTCACCCTGTTGCCCAGGCTGGAGTGCAATGGCACAATCACAGCTCACTGCAACCTTGATTTCCCGGGCTCAAGCAATCCTCCCACCTCAGCTTCTTCAGTAGCCGGAACCACAGGTATGTGACACCATGCCTGGCGAATTTTTAAAAATTATTTTCGTAGAGACAGGGGTCTCATCATGTTGCCCAGGCTGGTCTCAAACTCCTGGCCTCAAGTAATTCTTCTGTCTTGGCTGCTCAAAGTGCTGGGATTACAGGTGTAAGCCATCGTGCCTGGCCAGAATTGTCATTTCTAACAAGTTGCCAGGTGGTGCTGCTGCTGCTGTGGGCATGGAGACCTCACCCCGAGGACCAGTGACCTTGGAAGACTATCCCCCTTTGGATATCCCTGTGCTGTGACTGCAGCCGCACACGACCCACAGCCAGACCACAACAACTTTAAGTGTGTAGTTGGGAGACTGCTGCAAGAGGTGGCAACAGTCTAATGAAGATAAATTAGTCGAAATATACACAGGAAGCAAACTTGTACAGCAAAGTGCCACAGCAGCAAGAGAATGAATGCTCACTGGCCACCGGAGGTGACTTACCATGACGAGAGCAGCGTCACCGAAGCCCTCGGCGATCCTGGAGGCCACCTTCTCTGCAACCTGGTTTGGACTGCCAAAGAAGAACCAGTGAGTTCCACCATACTCAGTGCTGTTCAACGCTGTCTACATAGGCACAGCCGACAAGTAACGATAAATAGACCCACAGAGCCACCAGGCTGCGTGTGCTTGTTCTGCCTGTTTCCAGTGGCTCTTGGTGGCTGCAGTCCACGGTGATGACTTCTGGTGAGCGGGCACAGGGAATGCTGTCTGGCAACGTGGCGCAGGTCCACCGCAGGTCCCTGCCTCGGTCTGGCCAGGACACCGTCACAGAGGGGACCATGAGGGCATCTCCCAAACAGGAAGGCTCCCTGGAACCCAGTGGCAAGGGGCCGCAGCATGCAGCTGAGCCTCCGCTGCTGGGCGCTTGCCAGCCCCCAGGCCACGCTCCAAGCCCGCCTTTCTCCGCCTGCACTGCCGCAACGAGCCACAGCAGCCTCACAGCTCTGAGTCACCTTTTCTTTTACAAAAAATTTTTTGAAACTCCTAAGTCTTCCCACATCTCCATGCTCCTAAGCGTACAGTGGCTGGCCCTGCTCTGCTGCCACGCCAACCTTCACAAATGATACCTTTCTACCTTCAGGCAACAGAGCTAATTGTGGAGTCGCCCCTACACCTCTCCTGCTCTGTGTTGTCCTTCTATCCGATGCTGGGAGGGGCCTTCTTTACACTCTCTTTCCCCTGGAGCCCCAACTCTGCCTTCAAATCCGTGTAAGTCTTTATATTCAGGGGAAGAGCAAAAAGCGTCTAGCTGGTTCCTCTAGCCTCCGTCCCCAACTGTCCTCCTCCCCTGCAACCCCATTTCCTCAACTTCGTGAATGAGCCGATATTCTGGCTCCACGTGCACACCACGGCTCTGTGTGATCTGCCATCTACCCCCTCTCTGCAGGTCACCCTGGAAGTCTGCCAACCATCACCTAGTAGCCACCCCCTCAAAGCCACCTAGTAGCCACCCCCTCAAAGCCACCTAGTAGCCACCCCCTCAAAGCCACCTAGTAGCCATCCCCTCAAAGCTTCCCAGCTGGAACCCACGAGGCACCCGCCGTGCAGGGGTTTCTGCTCCTGGTTTTTCTGACCCGAGGCTGCCTTTCCCTCTGTTCTTTGCTTACCAGGCAATGCAGGTTCTATACCTGCCCTTGACCCCTTCACTCTCCTGAACCAGTTCTGCTCAGGCTTAGACACGGGTTTCTAAAATTGCTTCCTAACTGGCCTCACAATTTCTAGGCTCTTCTTATCCACTGTAGCCTGAAAACTCTCCTCAGGTCAATTCTCCTGAAATGGAGCTTCCACCACGTCCCCTCTAGCTCACACACCCATACACCGCTCTCCGCCGCCTGTCACACGGCGACCGCCATCCTCGCCTTGTCCTTTCCAGCCCACACG